ATATATATATATATATATATATATATATATATATATATATATATATATATACATATACATAGACACACACATACACACTCACACACATTCATTGCTCGTTATATACAGGCTAAAAATGTTACGTTTTATATTGAGAAATTGATATCTTCAGCCGCGTTTGTCAAAAACTTTTGGCTTGAATCGAAATCATAGCCGCGGAGTAGATTTGTTCAAAAGATGAGAGCGCAACCGAGACGCACTCTGTAAATTTGGAAAGAATCCACGAAATATCATAAACACATCATACACTTGCGATAGTTACATGTATAATCAATGGGCTAAATTGTCGTCTCGAATGGAGACCATTTGAATAACACAGAATGACGAGTCAGACGACTGAATCAATGATTTGCGACGATAATTACGCATCGTCAGTCGCAATAATCAATATGATAGAAGAAAGGAAGAAAATGTAAGAGGCGCGCATACAAATAACGCTCCCGTTTGCATTGCAAACGCAATTATCAATTTCGAGTCGATTGTCTAATTGGAGTGGACGCCTGCGGCGAGAGAAATAAGGATAAAATGACAAATAATAACCCGGTGGAAAGACAGGGCATGTCTCTTTCTCTCGGCACATTCAGCAACAATAAAAACTTTCGTTGGATGTTACGACTTACATGGACAGATGCTGTTGGTGCGGATTGTTAAATGTCTGCATTTCGTCGCAGCTTTCTCCGCCGCTGCTGGACGCTGTACAATCCGAATCCAAGTTGGATTCCACAACGTGCAACTGCGTAGACAAAGGTCCGGCCACACTTTCCACTTCTTCACCGTTCAGTTTAACTTGATGAGTGCCAAACACTGGCTGACGATTGCCATTGTTACCAGATGCGCCGGCCAAATTATCGCGCGAGCCTCCACCAAAGTATCGACAACACACTCTCTGACGATTCACACTGTTACTCTGGGCGATACACATTTTCTCAATTTTCTGTAGAAACGAATGCAAACTGCTACTAATCTCAGGAAAGTTTCTGACATTAGATTTCGAACTGATATTGACTAATTCTTGAAACAAATATTTCTTTACTCCATGCTGAGCCAATTCGAGAACGCCGGTGGTTTCCTCCGCGACGTGTCTGCCCATCGTCTTCGCCTGAAGTTTCCTAAGTCTTCTCAGTAGAAATGCACTCCTTCTCTCGTTCTCGAATTGCTTCTGCGCCACGATGTCTTGCTGCAGTCTCAAGTTGTTAGATTTTTGTTGGTCCACCGTGTCTGTGATATTTATATTATCGTTGCAAAGACTCATCACGTCCACATCGTTAAGTAAATCTCGCTCAAAGGAGGCGAATCCCTCCTCAGGCATGGCGAACATCTCGACGCCATCGACGGCGCTCTGCACGGGTTCGCTACCGCTCGCAGAGATGTTCTCGGCGCTGTCCGCACCTTCGATCGACTTGATCACTTGCAAAATCTCGTCCACATTATGCCCGATATCGGTGACATTCGCAATGCCGCATTGCTCGGCATCAGCGGTGATGTCGGAGCCGAAGGCCATTATCTGATCGACGTCCAAATTCTTATTGTCACCCGCAGTCTCAGAAGCCACCAGAGGCAAGTCCGCGCTCGATTTCAAGAAACCCATGTTGTTGGTTTGATCACCCATAGATGGATCGTTCATTATAATGTCAGTCACCTGCGGTTCGAGACCGTCCGGCGTGACCGGCCGCTCAAAGTCCTGCTCCTCCGCCGTCAAGCCGTCCTTTGCGATCAAGTCAGATGCGCTCGCGAACGTGGACAGACTGTCGAGATCGTTGGCGTATTTCGAGTTAATGACATCGCGAATCAGATCTTTCGAGACACCGCGCAGGCATTGGTCGTCAATCTTCGACGGTTGCACATTCGCCGGGACGACAAACTTGGTCAGGATCTCACGATTCTGGCACACCTGCGTGGCTTGCTCTGCGGAGAGGAAACCGCCAGCTGGGAGGGAAGGGAGCAAGTTTTCAGGCTTTTGAGGACCGCCTTCCGTCAGAGCAGGGGCCATCACTGCCACTGACGCTGCCAGTGCCGCGGCCTCCACATCCAGAGGCTCCCGTCCGCGCCCGCTCCTGCGCTCCCTGTGCGTCGCGCTCACTCCCATTCATCCATTACTACGCTTCTGTCCGGCACTTTTGCTCCTTCTCCTGCTCTCTCCCTCTCTGTCCGCCCTTGCTGCTATTTGCCACTTTCTCTATTTATGCTCTCTCTCTCTCTCTCTCTCTCTCCCTCCTCCCTCTTTCTTGTCTCTTTCTATGCTCTTTCCGTTTTACTCTAATATATCATTTATTATCAGTCTGCCATCCTTTACGTCGCGTAATTACATCGCACCGACGCTCTCTCCCATGTTATTGATCATTGATTCGCCCATTTCTTCTCAAGAGATGCTAAGTTTTCTGCAAAAGAAAAGAAAACCAATATGTTGTTACATCATATCTCCTTGGATTTCATCAGAAAAATTTTCACCAAGAATCAACTTGCGATAAACTAGGTTGAGAGATGACTCACTTGATTTTCACGTTTTAGGAGGCATAATCTTTGATGTGTCATTAAACGTATTTCAATGCGTTCTCTCGTAACATATACGAGAAGGTCCAATAACGACAACGACGATGATCCACGATAGTTGCTAAGATAATTTAGTTTCGGTGACTATTTCCTGGACTTTGCGCTCGCAATAATTCGCAGTCTCTTTCACCGTCTGTAACGATTGACGTCGTTATTAAAATATTTCCGAGCGCGTTGAAACCAGGGTCGTCTGTAACAATGCGTTCTGAGCGCTGTTTCCTTTCTGCGAGTGTCTCCTGGAAAAAACAAATTTAATATATCATTATTTAAAATATCAACTTTTAACACCCCGCAAATTTTCTTTTTTGTAAATAAACGAAAACTACAAATCATTAACTTCACTCCGGGAAAGCATTTTACGGTCGAGTATACGCATCAACGGATCTCAATTTATGTTTGACCAATTTATGATTCGATAATTTTTACCAGTTTCTCGTTTCGACAAACGAGGGGATACATAACTGGCGCTTAGTTTTAAAATTGATCTTATCAACTTAACTCTTACAAGCAAGAAAAGTACGATAAATCCGTATGTAGACTTGTAAAAGATTCGATGGTACATTTAACGCTCATTGCGTCAAATCGTTCGGGACAATCCCTTTAATTATTAAGTATTGCACGTTTGAGCTTCTCTGTAGCATTGTATTCATGTAAACTTTAATTGCATAATATCTAACGACTTAGTTTCAGTAGAGTATTCCTCAACACGAATAATATTGCGCAATACATACAATCATATTGTCGCGTTCCCACGCCGTAAATATACGACTCGATTGAGAAATAAAACGTAATCAGTACGGTATAGAATGTGTAGAAAACAATTGGACACCTTTTCGAAACAATTCGCGACGTGACAACAAATTCCGTCAAGAAGCGACAAGAGAGCGAAAAGTTTGTAAAATTCAGTAAACTTATGAATATCGCGTGTTTTGAAGCCGCGAGAACCAGCGAGCCACTACACCCGAATATCATTATATGTCTCGTTGATCGAAACTCGCAACAAATGGATCGGAATATATTTCTCAAATGAACTTTCGCGTGAGAAAACCGCGAATCATGCGCTATAAGCGACTCGTCGCGAGAAAAAAGAAATTACAGCGCAAACTGCGGCGTGTGCAATCGCGCCGGAAACGAGTCGATATTTCTTCGTGGTCGGTCGGGGACAATCTCACACGTATTGCTGACAGAGACGAAGACGCGGCGGGACAAAGAGAGGCGAATGTACGCGATAATCGCGACGAAATCGCCATCAAGATGAAAGTAGGGAGTAACTGGTGAGAGATTTTGTCCGGCTGTGTGCCAATGGAAATACGGAAGGAAGCCGCCGCCGCCGCCGCAACTGAAAAGAGTAGGCGGGTGGGAGCGGGAGTGAAGTTAAGGGGAGAAGAAGGGAGAAGGATACTCCTGCGGGTGCGGGCTCGCCTTCGCGGCAAAGGACGAGCTTCCCGGTCGGCGCGGCACGACGCGATATGTCGTAATCATGACGCTGCAGCGATACGTACGCACACATACTGTTGCGCGATGCGTTTGTAACAGGTAAGTAAAGCGGCCACACTGTCTGACGCATTACCACGTGATACGCTCGCGGCGACGGCGGCTACGTGTACGGGCGCGACGAGAGCGCGCGGTTAATAAAAACACGACGGCGACGATGCGAAAACGTAGAGCCACCGCGCGCTTCCTCCTCGTCGGTTTCGCGCCGCACGCTGTCTATTGCGTAACGACTCGCGCGCGATTCTCCGTCGCACCAATTTAGCCGGCTAGCCGCGATAAAGAGCGCGGATACCTGTACTACTGACTCGCGCGCGCGACCAACGTAACGCGTAATAGGAACAACGCGATTTCCTCGCTTCGCGCCGTTGCGCGCCAGATGCGGACACGTCGGGAATCGGCCACTGTTTCTCACGCACCGTCGTTGGCGCGTGCGAGTATCGAGCGCGACACGCACAGGCGTGCGTTAACGTGCGACGCTACGGAGACGCCGCGAGCGTTTTCCTTTCCGTTGTGTCCGCTGCGCCCGTGACGCTCGCAACGTACAATGGCGGAGCAAAAAACAAGCCTTTGAAGGTAGTAGCTTCCCTCGGATTCACGGGTTACAACGCACGCTCTCCTTCCTTCCTTTCTCTCTCTCTCTCTCTCTCTCTCTGTCTCCTTTCTTTCTTGTTCGCTCGCTCGCGCCGTCTTCGTTTCCCTATCTCTATCTATCTATCTATCTCCCTCTTCATCTCTCTCTCTCTCTCTCTCTTCCACGTTCGCACTCTCTCGCACACACGATCATTCTCTACTTCTATCTCGCTCTCTGTGTCTGTCTCTCTTTCTCTCACCTCTTCGTGGCCGGGCTCGGCATGCTCTCGTGGGATAGCGCCGCGGGCTCTTGCGAGGAACGCTGTCTTGGAACTCGAGCGCGCAGAAATCCGCCACAATTCGCCGGTCCGATACGCGCACACAGAGCGCAACGCGAACCGCGTCACACCCAACGTACGATAATCTCGTCGTCCGTACTCGGCTGCTCTCGTCCGTCGCCGATCTCGGCTCGCCAGGCGACGCGCGCGCGTTCTCCTTCTCTCTCTGTCTCTCTCTCTCTCTCTCGCTCGCTCACTCACTCACTCTTTCTCTCTCTTCTCACGTAACTGTCGTCACGGTACGTCGTACGGCAGTCGGTCGTCCACGGCGGCTACCACGCTTCTTTCTTCGTGAAAAGCACACTCGGTTCCGCTCGAGAAACGGCTCTTGCGCGAGCCGTCGTCGATCACGCACGATACGTCGGCTGTTCTCGCCGCATCGGAAAGTCACACGGGTAACGACGCGAGCTATTTATCAATAATGTATATAGCAAATTCGACCAACTTCGCTGCTGCCGTCGCGCGATCGACCAATACTGCGGGTGTCGCTGCCGGATGTGGCCTTCGTGGCCACGACGCCCAATCGGATTCGTCTGCCGCGCCGTAACATAGAACATAAAGCTCGCTTTACAATCCAAGTCGCGCTCGTCTCGTTACGCCTGCGCGTTACGTCGCGCGATTGGATCGTCGTTATTTGTCGAGCATCAACGGTAAATTCCACTTGATACTTTAATCGCCTTATTTTGGTATGCAGAGTGCGGAAACGCTTGTCGCGCGGCAAAAAGCAACATGGTAGCCAATAATATTCTACATATATGTAATATTACTATATGGCACGTAGAGAAATTTTTGCCATAAGAGAGAGAGAGAGAGTGAAAGAAGACTGAAGGATAGAAGATGGATGGTAATTGACTCACTAGAAAAAAGTGGGGCAAATGTTCTATGATCGCAATGCGCAAGCGTGGCGACAAAATATAAACATATATACATTTCGACGTCGATCGACGAGTCATTTCTCACTGGAAATGTATTAAAGAAACTGAGTAATTGATAATAAGTAAGAAAAATAAATATGGAAAGTGTCTATAACGGTATATATATGTGTGTGTGTGTGTGTGTGTGTGTGTATGTGTATGAGGTGGGAGCGCTGCACTTGGACACGGTGCATTTGGACACAGCCAAACACAGCACCGTGTGATTAGAGACATTTGTAGGGTCCCTTGGAACAGCGACTTGTGATTGGACTGTGTCCAATTGCCCCGTGTCCAACTGATATACACCCGCATGGCTGCGTTCAGATTCCTTACCCGGGTGCATTCTAATACTAAAAGTGCTATAGTATATGTAACATATACTATAGTGTTTCTAGTAATAGAATGCACCTGGGTAGGAAATCTGAACGCATCCCATGAGGTTAGTTCAGTAAGGAGTCAGGTCTAATCGTATTGGCTTAGACCATGATGGAAGGGTAAATGTTACGTATGCGCTTTGCACAGACAGAACACTGATATTGATATAGAAAAAGACAGTCGAGCATTAGTCTGCACCGTAGTGTTAAAGTACTGAGAGTTCTACGCGCCATATAGTAGTATTACATATATGATATTCTAGTTCTTATGGAAATGCGGCACATCGATTAGTTACATTGTTGCTTCCTACTGCTGCGCGGCAAGCACGCGCGTTTCCACGTTCTGTGTGCACAAGCCATTATATTTCAGTCTTTTCAAGATTTGTAGCGTATATCGCCATGTAAATCCACATGAAACTATAACTCTGGCAGTTTTCCGGCCAGAAACATGCGTCACACAGAACCATTTTATTAGCTACGTATTATCTGTGTGATATCTTTTGAGATAACAAGTAGCCAATCAAACAGTTTTGCGTGCAGTGTTTTTGGTGGAAGACGACCTTTAAAGCGCATGGAGAGAGAGACTGTGATTGGTTGTGCGGCGACTTATGCGGCGATTGTCAAAGCATTTGCAGCGCTAAATGGACCCTGCCTTATAAATTTATAAATTTATACGGCGCGGCAGTCTCGATCGAACGGCGATGGACAAGTGGCTACGTATCAATTTGAAAGAATTCAACATGTATGGTATATTATTGCACAAGTTTCCCGGGATACCTTGACTGATCATCAACGGAATTCGTTTCCCTCTTTTCTTGCTGATAATCAGTCGAGATACCTTACCAATTTATGAGTGCTTTCCACTCGGCAAGATGAATCAAAACAAGCATCATTCCATCTTTGTTCCACATTCAATGACTAACAAAGATGGGACGATGCTTGGGCTATTAAACAGAATATATTGTATTTTTCTCAACTTTCTCTCGTAGTATGGCGCGACGGGACAAAGCTAATTTTAGATTTGTAGAGGATGATAAAGACAACCGAAGATGCTGTATGAGAAAATGCATTTCGTTCAGAAGCCTCGAAAGCAGGTATGCGAAATTTGTAATATGTGCTACACCACACTTTACTACACAATCGCACCGTCAGATGTCGCACGTAGAACATTTGACGCGTTGACACCGGCGCACGCAGCTGAGGGTATACGCATTTCCGTCTTTTCCAGCCAACGTTACAGAGAGCGACACGAGAGTGCGAACGTTGGATATATCCGTCTCATCTCCCGATAACGAGTTAGGTTAGGTAGCATCTATGCCAACGTCATTTCATCCCGAGTCTCATCGAGAGGATGCCACGGTGCTACAACGACGAGGTTCGGTATGTAAATTACGAAATTTGATCGATATCTTTTTGCATGTGTAATTGATGAATATATCGCCCAAGTCACAAAACTGACTGCACAATTCGTTGATCGATATCACTACCTAATATCGCTCGAAATAGAACGTGAACTTTGGTCCTAACCTTCGAGACACAATATACTATGTGAAACAATGCTTTTCTCGATTTTAATTGAAGCTATTAAAATACGTGCCTGTCTGTACTTACATATTGTGATTAGATCGTTACCATAGACATGTTATCTAATATTGACGGTCGATCAATCAACCGTCACTACCTTATGATAAAACATTTCTCTCGCTCCCTCCCTCCCTCCTAAATTTCGAAAAACACCTGAAAACCGCACAGGAATAAGCAAGAATGGGAGAGAGACGCGGATAAATTGAGAGGGAAGAGCGAGAGGGGAGCGCGAGAGGGAGATATGGAAGCTAGCGTGAATATTTTTACCCAAGCCTGTTAACTACACTCTGTTATTTTATCTCACGTACGCGGCTTTCCTACTACCACCGTCGCGCCGCGCTGGAATATAAGTTTTAAGGCGTGTTTTGATAGCGTCAGGGCGTGTCAGCCGGGGCTTCCTACCTAATGGATCGCTTCTTCGCTCGTTCGTTCATACTTTTTCAAGAGTGCATAGCTCATGATACCGCGAAATTTCTCCCGATGCATTCGCGAAATTTCGCGGCCTCTCTCTCTCTCTCTCTCTCTCTCTCTCTCTCTCTCTCTCTCTCTCTCTGTCTCTATAAGCGTACGCCCTTACACGAAAATCACCCGTTAAATTCTAGCGCACTCTCTTTCGCTCCGAAATGCTGCTTTTACACAATATTTGTAGAAATCAAGCGACATTTGAACATTCGATTGCGTGACTTTTATCGAGACCTCGCAAAGTGTTTCGTACGGAATATGTAATATTTTACATGTCGACGAGAGACCGATATATCTGATATATAAATTTGTAGCAAATATATTCTCTTTTGTGTACGCGATTTCTCAAAGTTGAGAACAAATTTATTCATCAATCTGCGCTGGCTAATAACGCATGCGAGTTAATTGTGCGTAACTATATAGGCGACGTCTATAGGCGATCGGATTTCTGCCACAAAGCGGAAAAGTCGCTTCGCGGCCGATAATCGCGATAATTTCTCGACGAGGCGAAACGAACGCGAGCGAAAGGATGAATGGGAATGCCACGAGCGGGCCACGGCGAAGCGTGGATGAATGAACCGAACCGGCGTATACGCGAGCGGTACAAACCGTAGCGTTGTTTTGGTTATTTTGGCAAACCTAACATAACACGGCTTGTTGTTTAACAAAATAATTGATTTTGTCGCCTCGTCTCCGTGCTGCTTTGCCCCCCTCCCTCCTCCTCCTCCTGACGTTTTCTCCCTCTTCTGTCGTCATCGTCGTCGCCGTCACGCCGTCCTCTCTTTCTCATTCTTCGTGTAGTTTCCGCGCCTTAGTATATATTTCTTCTCTTCCCTCTTTGCCCCATCGGCACTCTTTATCCTACTTACTCGAGAGACGCGCGCCAGATAGTAGCCGCTACTTAGCCGCCGTGCGAAAACAAATTGTTCGATTCCGTTTGTTTGCCACCACGATGAAGATATCGCTTGGATTAGTTGGCGAACAACGCTTCTCTTGACGCCTAGGCCAGCGTCTCTTGTGTCTCGCTCGTCCGTCTACCACTTATTTATGAATCTCATCTTACTGACAATAATGACATTGGTATGCCGTATGAAATTGTCGAGTATTTTGTACGCGAATAAAAAAAAACTCATCTTATTCTGCATGTAAAAACCAGAGACACATTGGGAAGCAAGGGCTCTTGGGTGCGAAATATCTCCTATTTCGTATAATCTGATGTGTGATGAATTCTATACACAAAATACACGCACATCACGTGTACACACGTGTACAGCGCGAAAGCGCCGTTACGGCGGCTATTTAAGTAAGAACTGTCGTCGCGCGACGTCGACGCTCGGATTTTGCCACGAATGTTTGCTTTAGTAAAAGCGAACGAAAGAGTTGCCGCGTTAATACTAATTCGAGATTCGACATCGCGTCGAAGACGGGGGTTGCAAGTGCCGATGACTGACAATGTCCTCGCCGCGAGCTTCCTCCTTATGCTCGAACGCAGAAGTGACGAAAAAAGGAAGAAGAAGCTTTCGCTTCTCAGAACGAGAGAAATGTGTCAGATAGTACTAATCGCACGGGAAAATTGAGAGTTTGCAATAGTACGAGGGAAAAGGAAAAAAAAAACTAGTCATGACACAAATTAGCAAAAAAGTTTGGTTAAATTAACCCGACGACGAACGAACAAAACGCGTTTTGGTTTAAGGAACAGTTTCGACAATTTCTGTTTCCTTAAACTAAAATGTCAGGTTAATTTAATAAAAAAAAAATGTATATAGAGGAAATGATTTTTTCGTTATAAGTACCGTCTGTACAGAGAGAGGATGAAGGTATTATATCGTATTCAGATATATCCGAAATCTGCCATTGTTTACGTAGTTTATACAAAAGTGTAGGCGATTACGGTCAACGCGTTAGAGAAGCACTCGTTAAACCTGGAGAGCTATATCTCATTGTAATAACGCGCTTCGACTAAACGCATTCGGCTAATCGAACTCTCGAGGCCCATCGCTGCGCGCTTCGCGTACTCGCGCGTACGTAGGGGGAAGCCGTAAGAACGGTCCTTGTTATTACAGATGCTACTCGTTGGAGATCCCGGGGTGTATTTCAGGCACAAAGAAGCCTCCTTCTAATCCGGAAGAGCGATGCCTAATTTTCGGGATTGCGCGTCTTTCTGAAAA